TGTGGCTTTATGGTGTCCATTGTTCTTTCAGGTAAAAAAAAAATTTAAGAAAAGGTGTTCCATGAAAAACAGCGGCTGAGCCAGCGGGGCTCTTGCTCCGCCGCCGCTGGGCCTGGGACTGCAGAGAATGGGATGTGTTCTTCCCAGCCCCTTGCACAGAATATTAAAAAGTTGCCCATTCAGTAGTCAAGACTTAATAAAATTAATAATTTCTGCTTCATCAAGGACCTTCGTGGTGAAACTGTCCTATTTTACAGTGAGTGCCTGGTAAGGAAGAGCCGAGCGATGAGCAGTAGGATTTGGTGTCACTACGCGTCCGTCCATCTGTGCAGAGGAGCCCAGGTTTCACCCATCGTCTCTCTGGGCCAGCATTGCAAATGCCGCTATGAAAAAGGCAAGTAACGTCACAGTGTTATTATAAAAATAGCTTTGACCATACGAACTCCCTGAGTGGGTCTTGGGGGTCCTTGTGCTCGTGGACCACACTCTGGGAGTCGCTGGTTGGAGTTCGACGGCGCAGAGAAGGAAGCTCTTGAAGCTGATTTCTCGTTAGTTATCTGCAGGGCCTCTTAGAGTTTCCTTTTCCTCACTCACGTCTCTCACTCGCTTATTAATTTCTACTGGAGGCCTCACAAGGTGCATGGTCCCGAGCTGGGTGCTACATGTTAGATGCAAGCTCACCTGCTTGTTCAGACTGGAGTTCGATTTTCAGGGACCCTCCTCCAGGGTCTCTCACACCGCCCGCCAGAAACTGTTCAAATGTTGTAATAAAGTGTATGCTCCAAGAATTCTTCAAATTGCTGGATTCTAGAGTCTGATAAAAGCCAGTTGTTCAAAGGGGTCATTTCTGGATGAGGTCAGTGAGCCGTTGAAACGTGATGACCCACAGCAGGACAGAGCAAGCCGGCAGGCGCGCTCAAGTGTCAAGGAATTGGAAAGGATTTAAGTCACACAAAGCAAGTCCTCCCACCACGGTGGGACTAAAATGCAGACCAAGGGCAGAAAGATAACTGGAAAATCCCCAAATGTTTGGAAGCTGCGTAACCTGTTTGTGGTCAAATACACGTATAAAGTTTGCCGTTTTGACCATTTGTAAGCGTACAGCTCAGTGACCTTGGACACACTCACAGTGCTGTGCTGCCAACCCCGCCACGGTCCCCAGAGCTCCCTCTTCACGCAGCGGAGGCTCTGTGCCCATTGAGCAGGTCCCCCTCCCCCTCCCACTCCCCCAGACCCTGGTAGTCACAGTCCCGCTCTGGGTCTCTATGATGTCTCCAGGCGTCTCTCCCAAGGGGAATTGGGCAGCCTTTGTCCTTTTGTGACCAGCTTATTTCACTTGGCATGCTGTCCTCAGAGTTCATCCATGTTGTAACATGGGTTAGAATTTCCTTCCCTTTTAAGGCTGAATAATAATTCTGTTGTATGTTAGAAGGAAAGAAAAGAGCCAGAGAGAATTTCTTTACTAAGTCAATGAACAGTTGAAACACGATAACCAACAATAGAACCGAGCAAGTCACAATGGAGACACCAAACTACGCAACAAAAGAGGGCTTGGGGTTCGGGACAGAGACAGACTGGACCTGAGCCAGATGTGCGCACGTCCCTCGGACAGGTGGAAGGAAGCACAATAAGCCAGAACTGTGTGCAGCTGGCACTGGGGGCGTGGCCTTAGCTGTGTGAGGCAGATGGTATTTTCTGAGCTTTGGTACCTGTGATGAGTAGTGTTCATGTGTCCACCTGCTGAGCTAGAGTGTCCAGTTGTGTGGTTAAACATAAATCTAGATGTTGCTGTGAAGGTATTTCTTAGATGAGATTAACATTCAAATCAGTAAACTTTGAGTAAAGCAGGTTACCCTCCATGGTGTGGGTGGGCCTCATCTAATCAGGTGACGGCCTTATGAGAAAACAGACTGAGGTCCCCTGAAGAATTCTACCAGCAGAGCGTGGCAGCATCAACTCTTACCAGAATTTTCAGCCTGCCAACCTGTCCTGCAAATTTCAGACTTGCCAACACTCACAATGGCATGAGCCAATTCCTTAAAATCAATCTCTTGATAGCTAGATAGATAAAAATATTTGTATATATATAAATACACACATATATCTTCATTGGATTGGTTCTGTTTCTCTGGAGAACATTCACAAAGACAGTACTCCTTTTCATCTCTGTTTAGACCCCTGTAGTGGCACTTTGAGGCCTTTGGGAGAGCAGGATTTGTTTACTGCCCCACTTGCACCTTCCTTCTGTGGATGGCCAAGGCCTCTGTGGACAACCCAGGTTAGCCGCTCACCCCATGGTTCTAGACTAGGGATTATGAGGGTCATAAGCTGAGGATCAGCTACAGAAAACATGTTTTCAAGTCCTGTAGTGCAGCTTCCTATGTGCCCACAGTAGTCAGTGTGTCCTTGGGAGAGTTGCCCTCTCACCCTCTCAGGTCCTCCACCTCCCACTCGGACACTCCCACCTGGAGGGGCTCTAGCCGCCACCTGGCTGAGGAGGAGTAGGGGTGGGGTGGGGTGG